ATAATTTTTTAAATAGGACAATTGCTCTGCAGCAATTATAAACATTCCGGTCCACATAAAATCGAATTACCATAAAACCTTCCCTCGATCAATTTTTCAATTCTCCACTTTACATTCTCCCTCTCGCCAACACCAGAAATTCTCAATACAACAAAGTTTCCATTCTTTTTCAGGAGCAACTTTGCAGCTTGTCAGGCTAGAGGTGCCCGACATAGCGGATCCAAGATTGGACAAGGTAACCTTGAAGTGCGAGTACGACCTCGAAGGCGAAGAACTGTACTCTGTGAAATGGTACAAGGACGGAGCAGAATTCTTCAGGTTCATGCCAGAGTCGAGACCAGCTGGTCGCGATTTCCCTGTCGACGGTGTTTACGTAGACGTGAGCAAAAGCAACAAGAAACAGGTGACGCTTTTGGGACAGGCGAACAATCGAAGAGGTTCGTGCACACCTTCCATTTGGCCCCCCCTTCGTTTCGCTCGACTTAACGATCGTTGTTCGTGCGTGTACGATAGAGACGGTGTTTTGCTTGGAAAACCGTGGTCGCCTGTGAGGAAATTCACGAGAACGTCTAAGAACGATCGATGAGTTCGAGGGATGAGAGTGAGTCGGGTGAACCGTGCGCGAGGATCGAGCGTCGAGAGTTCAGTCGAGCTCGAACGCTGAGAGACGTGCAATTTGCTGGGGAATTATGCGGTTTAATGTGTACGGGATGTTGATAAATTGTTGACTGCGGAAACTCGAGTGTTTTGGCAAGCGGCTGGTATTAGAGTGGTTGTAAGATCGAGCCTCCGTGCTCTGGCATGTAACGAGAACTTCCATTTTTAGATCCACGATTTTGTTCAAGGTATTTCTGATAAATTCTGATCAAAGCTTCTTCACTATCTTTCTTCTAAATTCTTCCATGTGGTGTATTAAGGGTGGAATTTTTAGCAATTTAAATGTAACTTACACTATCGCTGATTAGTATTTCCTCGTCCACTTTCTCCTTTTTAAAACAATTATACTTTTTTTTTTAAATGAACACTACAAAACAAGTTAGGAATTAGTAACTTGAATAGGTATTTGCTCATCTACCTTTTTTTTTCTTCACTCAAAGGTGTGATACACTCTTCAAAAGAATTATAAGTAAGAGTTATAAAACAAGTTAAATAGCGAAATTAATTACGAGTAACTTCAGGTCGTCAGGTTAGGCGTATCACCTTGTACAATAAATTTTTTAATACTACAAGTCGTGGCAAATTATTACTATACTCTGTCAAATCTCACTGCCGCAAAGTGTCGCTATAAAACTATTAAGTCTACGAAAGGCACCGTACGCTTCTTGACCAATTTCAATTTTCACAGGTAGTGTTTCCACATAATGCAGTATTAACCCTTTAACCTACAACAACGTGTCAGACTCGTGGCAGAGATTCTGGTCAAGATGTGACAAAAACAGGTATATTAGTAAGAAACATTAATTATAATCCTAACTTTTGTTTGAATTTCTAAAATTAAGGATTCTTAAATGTAATTAACCTGTAACAGCTTAGCTTCTGTTACTTGGTACAGTACTGAAACATTAAATGGCTGACGCTTATGTGCATAGTCAGAAAAGAAATCATAGGTTAAGGGGTTAATACTGTATCATTAGTATTTTTACGACAAATAATTATAAATACAGTACAAATGCACATTCTTCGAAAGACCGTGATGGAAACTTTTGCATAGACCTAATATATTATGTGAAAAACACTCGACAATAGAGACTTCACATAATTTTCCTGCAGGTAAAGTGAACCTCGTGGGATCGTATGGCTGTGAGGTGTCTTCAGAGGGTCCAAGCTTCCAGACAATCTACGGCGAGGCGAACATGAGCGTCGCCATACCACCGAAAGAACGACCCAGCATCCGCGGCCTTCGACCTTCTTACGAGGCAGGCGAGATGCTCCAAGCAGAGTGCACCTCGGCGGCCAGCTACCCGCCGGCCCAGCTCGTCTTTATCCTCAACGGAAAAGAGGTAAGAGAAAAGAGTTTTATGAGAATGTACGGCTATTAGAGCCTGGAGAGACATTCCGCTGGCATTCGTGAACTTTAGAATTCCTGATCGTAGCAGCCACGGGAAAACGGGCTTTTGCCCCAGGCGAGCCACTTTTGCCTTAGCTCACTTTCGTGATTCTTGCTTTCCGAGTCCTTTCGCTGTGGCTTGTGAGTAGTTGATCACTCTTAACGGTGCATAATTTTCAAGTACTGAGATAATTGTCAAATGAATCGTCTTATCTCTTGCTTTACCTTTTTTCCCCAATTGTTTCAACGTGTAGAATTTACTTGGCAATTATTCTGGATTCTTCATTCTCCTACTTTTCCTGGTATATCAGGTATTTCACGATGCATAATTCTCCATCTTTCTCAAATTTCACGAAAGATTCCCAGGTCTTTCGAATTTTTTTCAAGTATTCCGAAAACTATTTCGCATAAAATTTTCATGAGGTTTGTATAGCTGAATCATTCAAAGCGGAATAGATCTTGAATTTTCCAACGAACAAAGAATTGAACAGTCTTTTCGTTATTATATTTCCTCTCGCAAATTTTCTCAATTTTTCGGTACGTACTTCGAACTTTTCAGTAACGATCATTTTAGAATGCAAACGGTTCGAATTTCTCCCATGCACAACCTACAAACGTCACCCACCCTAACCAATCAAACGACAAATTCTCATCCGCGGCGTAAACTTCGAATATTCAAACACGGTCCTCGAAAAACGAGATCCACAAATCACATTCGTGGGAGCCGAAGTTTCGAGTTTTCATCGAAACAAATAACTCACGAGACACCCTCAGGTTGCACGCGAGGTTTCCATTCCTCTTGCAAACGTTGGCTCGATTTAACGTGCTCGAAAAGCTCCCCTCCACGCGCGCCTTTCGGTCCACCCTTGTATCGCTGTGAACGAGCGTTCGCCACGTTTCTCCCGATTAACACACCTCCATTGAGTATAAACATTTATTATCTATAAAGCTGCACGGCGCAAGCGGTGGTCCGTTTGATCGTGGTCCGGTATCCAATGTGAAATACGGCGTAGTTTGCTTTAATGTATCGCCGTGACACACAGAAAAACGCGTGTTCTCTTTTCTGCTTCAAGTTCACGGGGGTGTCTAATCATGGTGTTTGCTTTCTCCTTGATAAACAATCGCGCACGATGATAAACACGGTTCCCTTCCCAACGGTTTTACGGTATCGTTCGTGTCGGGCTGGTTTCGACCCTTCTGCCGTACCATAATCGGATTTTCACATCTCGTACGTGAAAATTTAATCGCTTTCTTTTAGCGGAGGGCAGCTTTTCCTTAGAGGGAGCAAAAATGGAAAATAATTGAAAAGTCACGAGGGTCCTCTTTCTGTGTATTATTAGAATTTGTTCAGGGTGACTTTGGATTAAGTTAAAGTTGTATTAAGTTAAAGAAATTTCGTTTGGTTTCGAAAATTTCTGAAATTTTCAAGCTTTTGTGGTGTACAAAGGATTTTGTTTCAATTACTTGGTGTACAAAAGAAAGTGTCACAAAGTATTTCGTTTTGGATGCACGAAATTAGATAATTTAAAGGAATTAGGTATTTTTAAATAATATTTTAATAATATTGTATTTTTTAAAATAAAATTGTAATCAGTAAAAACGAATATTTTGGTCGGTGTAAATAATTAATTGGCAATATTA